AAAATGCAATCTTTAACATGGACTGAGAGAAAGCGTTTATTGGTGATTAAGTACTGATCTGGAGATATTTGATTGGCAATTAAGAAAGCACTGGTTAGGGCATCATTAATATTTCTGGCCCTAAGGGAAGGGATAAAAACATCTGACTAGCAGACGACAAATTTTATTGGCAATTTAAAGAAATGTGTCTGCACCTAGTACTCTAAACCTAAACATAGGATCTACTTCCAATCACAATAATATTAACTGTGATTTTAAACCATTATATTTAATCTTGACCTAAATACAGTGTACCCCACGCCTTATCTCTAGAATATAATATACTAATTTAACTAACAATTATTACCATCAACTTATTAATATACTGAATAAACTTTGATACTGTATGACCTAATTTTCACATGACTAAATCTGTGAAGCCATCATTGACTATCAAATATATATAAATGTTATAGTCTACTCTATATCTACTATGTGGGCTGACAAAGGGATAGGTCATATTGTTAAAATCCTTTGGATTATCCACCTTTTTTATGAGTGACAATTTTTGACAAACCTTAATTTTTTCCACTGATTTATTTTCTGATAAATGGTTCTTGGCTTTGAATTAATCCTTATGAACTGACTCATATTTTAAGGTGCCCTGACACCATAGCGATCACCAGTTGTTGCGAATAAGTAGGGCGTTTACAATTTTCGAATGCAACTGAGTTGTGAGTTGCATTCATCAACATGACCACTTTCAATATTCGGAACCTTACATAACTGTTAATCACTATGGTGCAAGGGTATCATAAAGTAACGGGTTCACCATCATCATGGATGGATGTTTGGACAGAAAATTAGGGCAAAGTTACTTCTCCCTGACAAAATTCCGCTGTAATTACTGATTACATCATGATATTGGAGAATGTTGAAAAATCAACAATCAATTTGTCGAAGAACTAAATGTCCAAGACAAATGTATATCTTAGTCTCTTTGACCAGAGAAAAATGTGTGTACTGAATGAAATATTTCTTGTTATTTATTAAGCTTTTCATTTCCGCTATGTAACAATCCCTTGTCAGTTTTTGATTAGAATAATAAGGCTCTTTTGACATTTATTTAGAAAAAAAACAATAGAACCAGATATAGATATGATTTGGTTCTTGTCACCAACTACAACTAAAGACAAACATATCACATGTAGTGAACTTTATTTCAACTTCAATTTTGGACAGTCAGTGAAATAGTTAATGGATGTTCTATACAATATTTTTGTTTGATTATTGTTTGTGTTTCTACATGAGTGAAGCCTAAACAGAGCTATTGCTATGTATGAGTAATTTGTGTTGCTTCAGGCTAGTATTTGATATGTGTCTTTGTTTTGTTGAAAGTTGATTGTACTGGATGAACTAGATTTAGTGGTTGAGTCAGACTGATTACTTCATCGTGATTAAAGATAAATTTTAAACCTGATTAACCTAGTGCTTAGGGGCAAATGATAGAGGGAGGGGGTGTCGTTTTTGTCAGGGATTCAGTAAAATTCCTTTTAAATGCAATGAAGCTTATTTTCAAGTTCTACTATTCCTGTCATGTTAGTAATCCAGGCATCTCAGAATGTGTTTCACAAACATACAACAAGTTTGGAAATGACCCCTTCCCCCCCACCTTTCCCATGCTTGTGGTGACTTTTTTGAATATTTTACATATAAGATATAGCTCTTTTTGTGGAAAAAAAAAGGCACCAATTAGAAATGACTAATAAATATGTCACTTCAAGACAATTCAAGGATGATATAGAATGGTCGGATATTGATGATGTAAATTCGTGTCCTGTTACACATTTATCATAATATATTCATTGATATACTTCGTCATATTTCATAGCATCCTTAATATATATATATATTTACGTATATTTCAAAATCTTCATAAGTGTCAAGAGGCTGACAAATGTAGAAGAAGCAATGAGTCTCTTCAGATTTGATACTCTTCTGAAGCTCATTTTCCTACAGTTTGTGCATAAAGATCTGTTGACATTTAGGATGTGATTATCTGGGCTCTCATTGCACACTGCATGGTGTAACTGTCTTCATTAGCCCACATGGTGCAAAAAAGTAGGACGTAAAACTCCATTCTTGATATTTTAATAATCACATCAGAGGCAGATGCTTTATTTTTTAACTCTCTAAGTGTCGAGTTGTAATATTTGATACCAAAACAAACTTTGTTATCTATGTTGACCCTCCAAAATGGATATACATGTATTAGTTGACAAATGCAGGTGTCATATATTACGCATTATTTCCCACAGAAACTCTTTACTATACAAAAAATTAAAAACCTGCTATAATGCACAGTTTGACAATGGTTACCAATTACATCAATTTGAAACTAACATGTTAAAAAGAAAACTGGTTTAGGATCATTTCAGACTAGATCTATTTAGTTGATGTCAAATGCAATTGGGTCTATTTTGTTGATTTGTGCAAATATACAAAAATAGGCAGAGAGAGACATAAAGTTTTACACATATTTGCAAACATAAATGAAACTTCAGCACTTTTCTCCATTAACTCACTGTATAAAAGTACACTTTAGTAGACATTTAATAAGCTGATGTCTGAATCCTGATAAACGTCCCTCATTGAACACTTTTGATGGTGTCTGTTTTCATAAATCCAATCATGAACAAATAGTAGGATGTAAAATTCCATTTTCTTTGCACTTTTGAGTGATGATTGATGATTTACAACTAGTTCGGATATAAAATGGCCTACTTTAAAAACACCAACTGTTAAACATATTTATATTTAAGATAAGAATTTTGATAGACATAGAAATATTTAACATCATGTCCTAGTTTAATCATTATATCTTATACAAGTTTCAGACATGAAAAATATATCAAACTAATAGAGTTGGGAGGAGGAAGTTGACTATCTTTTCACGATAAAAAAAATGTTCACCTCAATCTCAGATTTTTAATGTTTTTAGGAAATTTTCATAGAACCACTTCTTTTTAATATTAGTATTTATAAGAAGTTTGCAGGAATTGGTTCTGAAAAGAATATTGTCATCTTGGTTCAAACTAAAATTTATATTCAAAACTAGAATTTTTGTATTAGTATCATACCAGTAATATACCCACTGTGTTCATAGATAAAATAAGGATTTTGCTCTTAATCTATATGAACATTGACAATGTCATTCAGAAATTCAGATGCCGCTGGCAGTGCTTTCGATAAAAGATTCGGCATAGACTTTCACAAATCTGACATAATCTGCACAGATAAACTTTAAATTTTCAATCCAGTTGTCCATGTCGTGGATTGTATATCTGAAATATGCCTGAATAGCATATTAAAGAAAACTGATGTCAGACATTTAAGATTCAAAACATTGGGAGATGAAAAAGAGAAAGTTAAAATGAGATCTATTTACATTTCATAATGTTTTTTCTCAGGGTTAGTTTGACCTAGTTTGGGTTGTTCTATGTCAATAATAGATGTCTTTTCTTTCTCTCTTTATAATATTATGTCCTCCAATAGTCAATAGAAACAGGGGTGGATATTGAACAAAATCTTATACTAAGAGTTAGGTCTTACATCCTGTGCAGTGAAATGCTTCCTGTGCAAAGAAATGAAGTTTTATATCTTACAGTTTTGGTCTTGATTGGGATTATAAAAATTCATGCTATGAGAGACACATCAGCATAAGCTTATTTTTTTTCAATTTCCAACTGTGTAGAGATCTTTAATGCACCTTGTAAGAACATTGGTAATTTGTCCCACCTTGGCATCACAGGCAGAGACAAAACTAAGTAGAACTAAAAATGTCAACGTTGGTAAGCTAGTGTCTAATAATGTCAATTCAGTGTCCTTTATTTTTTAAAATAAAATTTATAGTTGACCAATTATATTCAATACAGTTAAGACTTGGTGAATTAGAAAAACTTTTGTGTAGGTCTTGAGAAGTGACAAAATTTTATTATTATACAAATCATAAGCTCCAACAGTCTATTTTATAGAAGAAAAAAACACCTCAATAGTCATTATAGACCAAAGTTAATATAGGAAAAAATACCTATTGATAAATTTAGGTCTTGTGTTAAGAAAATTTGAAATCTATGACCTGATTAAGATTGATGCACTTGACCCAGTAAATATGTCTGAATTAGGTGACAGAATTTCCATTTCATGTCTTTAATTAAAAGGAATCACTATGTTTTAAACCTTTTGGAGACACTTACAGCTTGCATCCTTACTTTACTTATAGTCCAAGTTGTAATATAACCTTACCTTATTTTCAAAGTAGTCCTGATGAGTATTTTTGTCCAGAACATACTTTGATATTATCGTTTGAGTTCAGTTCAGCGAACAGCTTCATTTTGCATCTTTCCTATTTCTTGTAAGATGTTGGCATTGGCTGTAAACTTAATTGAACTGAAAGTATGTTTAGGATATAAAATCCTCATCAGGACAGGACAATTATTTTGAAAATAAGGTAATGTTCCAATAATAAACAGACCTAAGCTATAAAATTAAATGAATGGAGTTTTAAGTTCTCCTCATTACATCATGCAATGCGCAATGAGGGAAATTTTTGCTGGACAGCAGCATTATGATCCTAATCTTTTGGATTTCTAGACTAAGACTATGAGTAAGTAAACTAAGTGAACTCTATTCTATGATATTGTTATAGTAAAATGATTCAGTATTAGGTGATATAATAGTAATATATCAATACTGTAACAGATGGTTATATTATATTATAATCTATAATTATTATCACTCATATAAAACCTTATAGTATGGCCCATAATTGATGTATCTTTAACAGATATCTGCAAATAGAATTTCCAAACTCTTTGTGTGTATTAGGGACACTGATAGAATCAATTTGCACCTTTCCAATTTTCAGTCAAAACATTTGTGGTTTTTGTCAATTTTGTGCAAATTGATTACCACTAGATACTAGATGATCTTGATGAAAATATCTTATAAATCATGTTTTTCAGGGTGGTTTTGCAAGATGTTATGAACTTTTAGATCTCAATTCCAACAAGATATATGCTGGTAAAATCATCTCAAAAACCAGAATAGCTAAACCACATCAAAGACAAAAGGTAGGTATTTCTGTAGAAACCTTAAACAAGCCTCTTATGAAAGCTTAGTGTTGCATGTTAAGCAAGGCTAGTGACATTTCTATGTATCATTATACATAGGGGACTATAGAATTGTCACAGTCTAGACAATTCCTTCCTGATGTTAAATGATGAGATTTATGGAGAAAAGTTGGAGATCTTGTCTTCCCTCTTATCATTGATCTTTCTCAGATAATCCATACTAATTACATCTGGGTTGACTGAAATATTAAGATGAATCATTCAAAGTCACAAACTATCACATACCAACCAAGATTAAAATCCACGACCACTATTTTTGTACATAACGAAACAATGATATAACTGATTTGACACAATTTTTCTTTAATTTCAGATTATAAGAGAAGTAGAACTACAAAGAGATCTTAAACATCGTAATGTGGTTGAATTTCATAGTTACTTTGAAGATGATGAAAATGTGTATATTATTTTAGAAAACTGCAGCAGAAAGGTAAGACTATTGCCAATGTAACTAAGATTATATTATCAATAAATCTGTAAACTTTGTCTACGCATGTCTGAATCTCTGAACAGATTTATTGTATTGTACTTCTGCAACCATCTTGGAGGCTTTTTGAAAAAAGTAAAAAATGTTACAAAAAGTCACAAAGAATATAGAAAAATGCTCTTGTTGTTACTATTTCGTTATTTTTTTTTCTCCATTTTTTCAATAAGCTTATTCATTGTAATCTAACAAGATTTATACAAAGGTTGCGTACTGCTAACGCAAATTATAGCAGCCAATCGGGCCTCACTATCTCGCCAATCAGAATCACTTTTACAAGCGATAATCGGCAATTTCATAGTCATACGGCTCTACTTTAGGTTTCGGTATTCCACAATGCATAGTCAATATTTGGACACAGATTCTTTATGATGCACAGTGTACATATGATTTTGAATCTTTGTTTCAGTCCCTTGTACATGTGATTAAACATAGAAAGACCTTAAGTGAACCAGAAGTGAGATTTTATATAAGACAGCTAGTAGAAGGAGTCAAATACACACATAGTAAATATATCATACATCGTGATCTCAAACTAGGCAATATGTTACTGAATGAACAGATGGAACTCAAGATAGCTGATTTTGGCCTTGCTACTCGACTAGACTTTGAGGGAGAAAAGAAAATGTAAGATTTTATTTATTTTGGATAATTATATGTCTGATTTTTTGTAACTCAGTGCATTTTCATCTGACATTCTTAAGAATAAAGAATTGAGGTTTGAAATGTAATTTTAACCATTTATTTCTTTTGCATGTTCGAGTACCAATAACATAGTTATCAAAGGTCTAAGTTTCACTGAAATTCTAAGTATATAAGGGAAGTAACCCAATATTAAAAGAATTATAATCAGATTTTACTATTTGAAAACTAAGAATAATTATTTTTGTTTATAGTACATCATATAGGATTATTGTCTCTGTCAAATTTTTGAGATTCCACATGGTGCTCAATGAACACAATTCGTCTCAGCTTGACTATAATAAGATAAATCTCTCTTTATAGGACAGTCTGTGGAACACCCAACTACATTGCTCCAGAAGTTCTCTTAAAGAAAGGACATAGTTTTGGTGCTGATATTTGGGCTATAGGCTGTGTCATGTAAGTAGAAGCTTGTATTATCTATATTCATGATCTTGTTTAATTTCAACTTCAATTTTTGATCCACAGTTTGTGAGTAAGCGCCTTTACTTTATTTGAGCCAAACTGGAACAAAAGTAATTTGTATTTACATAGCTAAATATGGTGTCTACTAGGCAATTAAATGCTGTAGATATGCACACCCTTAATGCAAGAAAAAGTATTAATGCCACAGTGCACCGATTTTCATGACTTATATGATTTCCATTTATGAATAGAACTTATTATTTTTTCCAGGTATGCCTTATTAGTTGGTAGACCACCATTTGAAACCTCCACATTAAAAGAAACATACCTACGTATTAGTGAAAATATCTATACATTACCAAATAGTCTTTCAACCATTGCCAAAAATCTCATCAGAAAGTGTTTATCACCTGATCCAGATCAACGCCCAAATTTAGATGACATTGTTAAAGATGACTTCTTTACTTGTGGTTATCTGCCTAAAGTTCTTTCTCCTGCCTGTTGTTTTTCAATTCCAAAATTTCCTGTATATACCAAATTTAATAGGTAAATAATTTACTATAAAACAATCTTAGTTGCGAAACATAATGTCAGAAAACCATCTTAAGATGTCCAACTAGTATGGAAGCTTTTTAAGCAAGCCAAGTTAGCAAATTTTTTTTATAGTAATTCCTTTTATGCTATAGTCTAGAACACAATTTTTCATGAAGTTTGATCAGAAATTTAGTGAGATCTGAAAATGTACAACTGCTGAGATAACTCTTTGTGGTCTTATTCCAAAACTTCAAAATGGAAAAGACTTTTCTATGGAGATTCAGTATATAAGCTAAAAGCCCTGATGTCAAGTCCGAAAGAAAACTGTTGCTTCACTGTAATTTGTAATGTGGCAGTTGTAGCTAGTGAGGCTATGATCACCATCTTTTGAACATAGCATGTATTTTTTGGGGGTATTTGAAGACACCATGTTTTATATTTTCAGACCTCTATCTTATGCTGATAGTAAAAGTGATGAAGTTATGAAATTAACTAGTGCCTTTAATCAAATACAGTTGGAGGGAGATGTTGAGGTTCGTAAAGCAGTTTCATGATTTCATTTATGTATTAATACTTAATAAGAAAACATATTCTTATAGTTTGTGCTGACTATAGAATAGTAAAGATGTTTATATTCTAGATTTAAAGTCATGGATGTTATAGATTGTGCTGACTCTATATTAATAAAGATGTTTATATTCTAGATTTCAAGTAATGATGTTATAGATTGTGCTGACTATAGAATAGTAAAGATGTTTATATTCTAGATTCAAGTCATGGATGTTACAGATTGTGCTGACTCTATATTAATAAAGATGTTTATATTCTAGATTTCAAGTAATGATGTTATAGATTGTGCTGACTCTATATTCATAAAGATGTTTATATTCTAGATTTCAAGCAATGATGTTATAGATGGTAAGAGTAATAGTAAAAATGATCCAATTCAATCAGTTATCAAAGAAACTATAGAAGATGTTTTGATAGAGAAATCACCTTCTCAGAAACAATGTAAGTAGCAACTGCATATTCAATCTAAGGATCAAAGGAAAAATGTGTTGGAAATAAAACAAAATTTAATTGAAAGATTTCTCTTGCTTTGAGGCTCAATGAATAATCATATTATACACTGTATGTAACTAACATTATCATGTGTATATTTGTTTTGCAGCTTCTAACAGACCTAGATCTGCTGCTAGAATGTTAGAAGTTTTATCAACCTGTTTAGAGCATATGCCTAAGGGTAAGTAACTGATTTATTTTACAATGTATTGTAAGAATTTGACTAGGGTACTATTAAAGCTTTGAAAAGAAAAGGGAATTTCAATGACATCATGACATCACTGACCACTTTAAAACATAAAGCTGAATTTTACTTGTGAACTTACAGAATCTTTCATTAAAAATTCCATCATACTTTTCTGCTCTAGATTTGGATATAGGGACATGTGCCATAGGGGAAGTTGTGCCTACATTTTTATTTCCCAATTTAGAGCTTTTTCAAAGCTGCATCACATGTAATGTCCTCAACTCAAGTTAAAACAAAATTAGTTTAGTTCAGTTTTAAAATCTTTATTACAAACTCCAGTCCACAATTCAAGGTAGGTAGTGGTGGAAGAAGGAGGTACAATACAAAAATAAACAATAATAAGAAAAGGCCTCTTGATCCAATATAGTAAGCCTCTTGATCCAAAACAGTAAGTTGTATGAATATAGAAAATAGAGATTCCTGATATAACCATCCATAATAAAACCCTTACTCCTTGATAATTATGAATATAAATTTACATAAATGATTTAGAAAGTTTCCTGATATTCTTAAGAACATAATAAAGTAGACTTACTCTGTGGTGGAGCAATGTCAAGTTGTCAACAGAAGATTTCCTTGTTATTGTGATTCCTGAAGAGACATGGCAGACTATGCCATGGCCATTTTCCTATCCCATAATGCTCAATGTAAACAGTTAAGGGGAGGTAACTAGTGACGGGTGAACTCTATCACAATTAACTTTTATGTAACACTACATCACATGTAGGGGTATAACAGTTAAAAAAAACAAAGTATATTGGGATCTGTGATCAATTCCAGCATTCTGTTCTATATTCCAACTTTTGTTCTATTTTAAGATGGTACTCAAGATCCAACTGAAATCAATGATAAAAAGATGGTGTGGGTAACAAAATGGGTGGACTACTCTAATAAATATGGATTTGGATTTCAACTGTCGAATAATTCTATGGGAGTATTATTTAATGATACATCCAGAGTATTATTGTCACCAGATGGAAGGTAGGTTTTATTCTGAAGATCATAGTCTAAGATATTGGTTTTTGCTTTAAGCGAATGTTAATTATCATCTACCAACTGACCATCCTAATGGGACATGGTTATTGATTTATCTGTCACCTTCAATTGTAACTGTTATAAGCTGATAGACTTCTTTTTCGCTGTTATCATCTGATAGACTTCAATTTTAGCTAATCAAAACAGACCACATTGAAAATGACCACTATCAATTTTGTGATTAATGTTGTAACAGTAATTAATGGACTTTTTAGCAATTGGCATTTGAACTGTTTTGCAGACATGAAAACGTGTATCAAATTGCAGGACGAAAGCAAATTTCAAATGGCTGAATATCCTACTGATTGAAATTTTCAATGACAACATATGACATACTAAAGGTTCTGTTTAAATATTACTCGTTACAGATCTATGCAGTATTATGATTTAACTGGTAAATTATCAGCCTATAAACAAGATTATGTACCAGAAGATTTAAATAAAAAAACCACCTTATTGCAATATTTTGCTCGCTATATGGATGAACATTTAATACAGGTACAGTAGCCATTATCAGATTATCGGCCATTATCATTTACTTAATATCCTTAATAAATAAAATTGGATGAGAAAGAAGACTGAGTGTTCTACTTCTCTGCATGGGATTGTGCTTTTAAGAATAGCTGTACAGTGTACTATGAGGTAAAATGAGCTAGGACAGATTTTGATTTCCATCCAGAGCTCTATTGGCTCTCAGGGCCTTGATTTATTGTCTTATTTGAACAACTGAATGCAGCCTCAGTTTTCATCTATAACATTGCTATAAAAGAGGAATAATTTATTATAATGATATTTTAGGGAGGAAATATAGGTTATCAGTTATCAAAAGAACCCTGGTCAGGAAGTCTGTATTTAAAGAAATGGTTCCGTACAACTAAAGCTATTGTTTTATATTTAAGTGATGGAACTCTACAAGTAAGTTTTTAGTAGCCACTGTTGCTATATTTTATGATGATATCTAGTCGAAGGTTCATTATTTGAGACTGAACACACAGATAGCAAAATTTGGCAGATGATGCCTGCATTGATGACAACTGCTGCTAATCAGTAATCTTATTACAAAATTATTTACTCTGATTATCTTGAAAAACCAAGGGCTATGACAACTAAGTTTATCCTATTTCAATGATATCTTTTTTATGTCTTCTGTGCAGAGTGTGCTTTTAAATATATTTCTCATTGTTGTAATATTTTGTTATTTCAGGTGAATTTTTTCGATGACCACACCAAAATTATACTAAGTTATTATAATAACGACTATATTGTTACTTATATAGACTCGGATAGATGTGCCAAAACATTTAGTATTGTCCAAATAATCCAAGATGGCTGCAAGTCAGATATTACAGGACGCATGTCTTTCGCCAAAACAATGTTAAAAAATTTAGTAGATATTGAGGGAGCTGATCTCTGAGGTATTGTGAAGAACCATTATAGAAGAAACAAGAAAGTTGTTGAGGGACCAAGTTGCTTTTACGTGTTTTGTTACTCATTTTTTCCATTTCATGATCTACTTGTTTGATAGTCATATATTGACAACCAAAAGGTTTGAATGTACAAAAAGTCTTGAACATTCAACCTTACTTAATAAGAATAAATGTTTCTAGGTTTAAGATCTTGGCTGTGTTTAGTTATGTGTTTGAAAAACAAGATCTTTCACTTCTGCCCTGTGTTAAGTTAACACAATGTGTGCCTGCTCAAGAAGTGCCTGTATTTTGTTATAATTAGAATGTTTTAATTCTTGTTGAATTATTTAGTCCATAAAAGATCTTTAAGTTAAAGGGAAATGTACATGTATGATTCATTTTTTCAAATCCAAGTTTTTCATTTCTATGAATTGAATACACTATATTTATAAATTCAAGTAATTCATGTTAACAATTTTACCGATGGACATAAACTACTGTCTTGACAGTGTCGTTTCTAAGAAACATTGATACCATCTATTTGAATATCTATAATGTTCTATGAATACGATAATGCAATATTTAATGGTTTTGATCAATTTTTCTGTTTTCAACCTCTGTCAGTAAAAATCCATATTTGGTTGCTGTTTAAGTTCAAAGGGTTGAATTATACCAATTCCAATATCAGTTTCAATTCCCAGGGGTCTTATTTTTGTGTTTGTTCAATAGTCCTTGCATACAAGGGACAAGATGGTGCAATTTTACATGTAAAAATTAGTATGCAACTATATATAAATCATCAAGTGACCTTCTGAAATCCTATCATTCTATTTTCATATAAGTTGATATTTTTGAGACCAAAAGTCCAAAAGTCTTTCATGCCTTCAATGGACTATCGTAGGGGGTTTTTGGCCCCATTTGATTGGTCTGAAAATTACGGATGTTAATTTTCGTTTGAAGAAATTGCAAAAAAACTCCATCATTTTACAGTATCGTTATATTTGGGTGGAAAAGGTTTTGTAGTTAGGGAGTTACTGCCCTTTGTATTGTTGTTTACATATTTTCGCTTTTAATATTAAGAATTTTGTTATTATAGTGTAAACAATTGTTTGGTAATGGGCAGTTATGGATTTTGAATTTTCAACCATCTTCCATGTCAATCATAAGCGGGCCATGGAATTTCATCGATATATCTCATGCTTCGTTTTATGCCTATTTTTATTTATGATTTTGTATACCCACTTGATTAGTATATATTGACTACACTCAAATGATTTAACTTTTTAAGCTCCTAATATAATACATAAAGATGGAGTCATGTATATTTTCTAATTTAGATTTTATATATTTTTCAAAAATTCACTTGCAAACTGATATGACGAAAAATCCATCTATACTTGTTAAATTATGCAAGTTAAGGATCAAATTATGTCATAATATATTTAGAATAGCCAATCATCTATTTGTGAAAAAATAATTTTGCTTACAAAATTTCTACTTTTATCCAATATAAAAAATGCAGGAACCTATCTTGAACGTTTGTAAATCTTTTTTATCTCTTAAGTGCCTTAAACTAGTCGACAAAGCACCATTGTAACAATGTTGATCTCTTTTATATTGATGTTCATTAAGCAATGATTTGCATTTATTATAATATTTAGTACATAACTTTGTTATTATTTTATATCATCTTTCTGCTCATCCATTTTATTACTAAAACCATTTTTCGTGACCTTTCTTCATTATGTAATCTCCCTCAGAGAGAAAGGAAACTAACCATCTAGAGCTGTAGGACTTAATACTTTGAAATATCATTTTTTGTGGCAAAAATTTAAAAGATGCGCAGTACTACAAGGAGGCGAGTTTATCTGTGTATTTCATACTTAAAACATTGAAGCATCTTTTAAGCAAGATTATCCTCTAAATATGTTAATTACTGGCTGACAGCTCAATTCATGTACCTGTATCACTTATCAGAATTCAAATCTTACGTCCAGTTCTATTGCAATTCAACACAAAAACACTTCCAGAAAGTTATTTTTTTCATTTATTTTCGAAATCATGACCATTGCTCATATAGTGAAATGTCAAAGGTCAGATTTAAGTTTTAAAGAAAGACACAGAAAGCTGAAATTAAGCTTTATAACCCTAGTTGTAGTAAATATTTATTTTCGAGCTCATTCTTGTTGTAATATTGAGTAATTTGTTCTTGTTTAGCTTAAAGATAGATCTTTTCTTGAGTAGACATAGCTCAATGAGAAGTAAATTATATCACAATTTGTAATGTTATATGAATATACCAAAACAGTATAAATACTGACTTTACTAGCTGATAAATATCAATTATAGCCATCTGAAGCATTTATCAGAATTAAAATCCTACACATGACAATTCTCATATAGGTAGTTTGCACTATTGCCTTTATTTCATGACTTCTCAAGTTATCTGTGTATGTATATTATCATTTCCCTTTGTACTTGGTTGCTTTAGCTTTAATAAGTGTTAATTCAGCTTCGTACATGGTCAGTTCAGCTTGGTACTTGGTTAAGTAGCTTTGTACCTTAGATTAGTTTTTTTTTTATGTATACATGTATATATTTAATTAAATAAAATGGAGGGATCATTATTTAAGACTGATAACAAAACAGTTTCCAGTTGCTCAAATATTTCTTATTGTCATTATTTGTTGGTTTCACGATCTATTTTTGAAAAATACATTTTAATTTGAAAACCAATATTTCAACTGTTTTATACAATAATGTATATGAAATGAATTTAAAATATAATAAAGTATAATTTTTTCACTTTGGTTCTCTTCTTTAATTCAGTTTTGACAGTCGAGATCAGTTTAGTTTAGCTTATTGGACTGGAGCTATGTAGTCAAGTCTAGTTCACAAGAGCTATGTAGTCAAGTCTAGTCAACAAGAGCTATGTAGTCAAGTCTAGTCAACAAAGAGTCAAGTCTAGTTAACAAGAGCTATGTAGTCAAGTCTAGTCAACAAAAGTCAAGTCTAGTTAACAAAATCTATATAGTCATGTCTAGTTAACAAGAGCTATGTAGTCAGTGAACCAGTCTAGTTAACAAGAGCTATGTAGTCAGTGAACCAGTCTAGTTAACAAGAGCTATGTAGTCAGTGAACCAGTCTAGTTAACAAGAGCCATGTAGTCAGTGAACAAGTCTAATTCACAAGAGCTATGTGGTCAGTGAACCTGCCTAGTTCATTTTGGGTATTGGTGCTATGTGGTTAGCGAACCTTCCTAGTTCAGTTTAGAGACTGAAGCTATGTGGAGAGTGAACCTGCCTTGTTCAGTTTTGGCACTGAAGCTATGTGGTTGGTGAACTTTCCTAGTTTAATCTAGCAATAATTTACTGGCTAAGATCAGTATAGGTACTTCCATTTAGGTTCCTTCGATTTGTGAGCTGAGGATAAATGCATATAGATAACTCAGTTGAATTCATAAATAACAAATAACATTTTAATATCAGTTGGAATGTCTATATTATAATATTTTATCTCATATACTACTACATGTTTCAATATATTAATAATATAATATTTCAAATATAACTTATATCAGTAAATAAAAGTTAAAGGAGCCATACCAGATAAATATAAATATGAAAATATATTTCAATATATATTTGATAAGTCATGATTTGAAAATCAAAATTTATTTGAATCTTGAAAACCTTTGATCAGATTGTGCACAGTTGCATCAAAATTATGATTCAAATTTTACATGGGATGGTACCTTTAACCTTGAATTTTCAGCAATAGTTGAGACATTAACAATTCTTGGTTAATTATTGCATATTCAATTGAAAATCTCATTAAAGGGGGCTAATTGCGCAGTTTAAATCTGGATTTTAGCTCATTTCATTAGGTGAATTAGCCCTACGAGACAGCAAACTTATTTTCTCAACCAATAATATTTCAATATTCATTTTTGTCAGCACTAAAGTGTACATTATTTCTGCTGTACTTATAGCTTTAAGGTTGTTTGTATTTCTACAATAAGAAGCGCTTACTTTCAGGAACAAAAATACAATTTTAGAGCACTAGAAAAATTCTTAAATTTTGTAGAACCTGATAAGCACAATTATCTGTAGTATCTATAATATTCTTTAAGATTTTATATATATATATATATATAAATTCCATCTAATATATATTCCATCTAATATCATAATACATGTCTATGGTTCAATTAAGCCATTAAACATGTAATATAAAAACCCAGCACCTGAAGAAAATATACGATCTAATTTCATGTTTTTATACCAGGTTGGGCATGCTTTTTGATTTTTCATTTCTCATGTCAGATAAGCAATGCAACTTCTTCCCAAAGCTAAATTTAAACATGTTATTAGTCTTATTATTTCCATTTTTGAGAAATCTTGTAAAAACAAATGACTACATGTATCACAAAATTGCAATATAACATTTTAACAGCAGTGTGTTTGAAGGCTTTATAATAATATTGGAATGTGTATAGGAAGGAAAAAAGTTACAACATACAGTGATTAAAGTCACAATAAGTGATAAAGGTCACAAAAAGTGATAAAGGTCACAAAAAGTGATAAAGGTCACAACACATAAAACCGAGTCTTGAGTATCACAACCATTAAAATATCTAATCTTAAAAACTAGAGAATGTGTCCACATCCTACATCTATATATAATATATATGGCACTTATAGCTGCTAAGAGAGTACACTAGTTCCAAGAGTTAGGAATGCATAGTAAATACATGTATATCTCCTTCAATAATCTTCTTCTTTAAAACCTAAAACATATTCAATATTGTTAAAGGGGAAGTATGCAAAATTTCATTATCAAAAATGTTCTAATTATATCAGAAAATATTTCTAATATATATTTTTTAATATTTAAGTATCTACTTGATCAAACTATATTTAAAAAGAGGAAAAGAAACCGACTTTGCATCCCCCCTCCACCTCCCCTTTCAATATTTTTTATCATTTACATAGCCTGTGGCTCCCCTGGAAAACTGTGTGGTCCCTTCTCTGTCACAGACATACCACTGATCATATATGCTTGCAAGAAATAGTTATCAGATGCAACTTGTGTATACAGAAATATTTGTCTACCTTTTCTCGCTCTTCAATTTGAAGTCTTTCTCCCTTTCAATATGCCCTATAAACAAAGTTATAACATTACATGTACATTGTACACATAGGTCAGGCCTAGACTTTAATTTGTTTTACCATAAAGAATAACATAACATTTGTTATCCAATTGAACCCAAAATATCAATATGTAATCTTCTTTATACAGAAGCTGAAAATTACTTTTAATACATTGTTTCTATTGAAATAATATACATTTATTTCAAGTGAATGTCCTGGTTAAGAATAAACAAAGGACAGATAAAATAATTTGGGTCCATGCAGGCTCAAACTAAGGGTAGTTGCAATAGAATCGTGCAAAATGCAAATGAAAGAACTTAAAAACGTAAAGGGTAGATATGCCCACTTGTGCATGCAATTGCTATATAAAGAAATCAGTGAAATCAAAATTGGCTAAGGTAAAAATTCTAAGATGAAAAGCAATCGAAACCCAACATACAGCATTTTCAATATGCTATGACAAGGGCAGTAATTCTGTTTTTTATCACTGCAAAGGATTAAAACTTGAGTGTCTTTTTGATCATATACATGGATATTTGAAACAGTAAATATTCTGGAGCAATTGCTAAAAAAAATTAATGGATGGACCGACATAATAGAATGCGACAACATAAGTTCAAATAAAAGGGGGGGAACTGAAAAATAACATAAACACTCACAGGCGAAAGAGGTTTTGTAAAATTAAGATGAGCATATAAAATAACTCCAATATCTTTAAAGCCAGCTTCCATGGCTATTTCTAGGGCAGTGCTACCATCCTAATCAAACATAAAATAATAAAAACAAACATGCACACACAAATCAAAATAAAATCAAATTAAATTAAATCAAATCAAAATGCAAATGTAGAACGAAAAATAAGATATACAAAAAGCAAAATATATCTATGCATTAAATGAAATCAAATCAAATCATATCAAAATGCAAAGGTACAACCAAATAATAGAAAATATAACACAAATAAACAAAATTCATCAGCTGTGCAGCAAAGCATGCTGATTTATACAAAAATCAAAGTTGAATTGTATAATTTTTGTATAATGGTATATATGTTCAAGAACTCACTAGTACACAAAATTCAAAAATTTGAGGATCGACACTAAATAATTTCTGAAAACAATGCCCATATGCTTCCCCTTACCCCAAAAATAAAAATATGATCATAAACAGCTCTTGATATTTTTTATATTTTCTTACAGTTTCTTCACTCTAACAACATTTGTATGAAAGGTGTGTTCACCGACTTAACCAATCAAATGCTACGTTCAGCAAGAACATAACCATCACTTGTGAAATTTTCAAACACATGTTTTATGCTCCCACCCCTAATTTGTAATTAGATGACAAGTTTGTATCTTTTTCTTTAGACTCCATGGTAATCTAACAAGTTTTCTACCAAAGGATCGTCCCCAAGTGGTACTTTTAACCAATCAACCAATTACTGCCATGACTCCACTCTACTTTCGGTTTTCCTATCCCACAATTTCTTATTTCATCAAGAAACAGTAACTCACAGGACATAAAACAAACTAAATATGGAGAGCTGTATGCTAATGAAATTGAAAAGAAAAAATTCACAAAAGCCCACAGCTATTCCGACAAATCTACTTACATTATCTCTGAGATTAGCATCACAATCTGGTTGTCCTAACAACATTTTAACAATATCAGTGTGTCCATGTTCACAGGCACACATCAAGGCTGTAGAACCATCAAAATCTCTCTCGTTGATATCAGCTCCAGAATCCAATAGCAACCTGACCATATTGGTTCTTCCATGACTAACTGCTAACATGAGTGCTGTTTGGCCAGCCTTAAATACATAACACATAGATTAGACTTTTCTGTAAACAGAATATTCATTGTCATCAAGGGTTCTCATTCCAAACTTCATTTCGTTTCTAATTCAAATTGGTCAGGAAAATTTTTTCAACACATTAGACATCTGTTCTAATGCGAGACTTTTTCATGGTCTTACTAAAGTGACTGGTAATGCATTAAGACATCACTGATATATTATCCCTTTAAATCTTACCTGAGAAGCTTTAGCATTGATGTTTCCTCTAGAGAATAGACTAAACACAACCTGTCTATGTTCTGCTGTGAGATTATTGGTTAAAGCTGCCAACATAATTGGTGTATAACCAGCTTTATTGGGTTTATCAATATCTACAGCTTCTGTATCCATTAACAAACTTACTACTTCATAATTACAGTTAGATACAGCGTAATGTATCGCTGTATTGCCCTACAATATTCAAACACAAGATTATTGAACTGTAGTTGGTGAGAGCCACTGTGGCTACATTCCATCCTGGTATAGGTTTAGAAAAAACATCTAGTAATTCAGATGGTACACTAAAAAAGGAGGCTGTGTGTTACAGACAGTACAGGTTAAAGATCCTCCAGCAGATGATAGTCACAAAAGTGTCATCAACTCTCTTTGCAAAATTTGATTAATTGTACACAGTATGACAATGTTCACCTTCATTCAAAATACATGTCTATATTATGTGCTGCAAATTCTTTATTAATAGCTTCAAACTATATTTTTTTGCAGAAGTAAGATCACAGAGAAATCAAAGCAAGTCTAATGCAAGCCTTAGATGTGATGATCACATAAGTTTTTGCAAAAAAAAAAAAAAATTCTCACTTACATTATCATCAGAAATATTGACCACATATTTCAATAAAGAGTTGGATAATTCGTTAAATGATGACATATAATCTTCTACTTCATAGGAATTAACAAATTTATTATTAATTATCTTAAACCACTCCTTCTTAATAATGGCCACAGCAGAGTTCTGAAATGAGCCAAATCATAATAATAAATAATAACAAAGGCAAATTAAACATTGTACAGAGCACTGAAGTGATTCAAAAGTTTTATAGTTTAAGTGTTTTCAATCTAACTATAATACTAACTATAGCAAATTACATGGAAGCCAAACTGTTCAATTATTGGTAACATTTTTCTAGACCTTGGAGAGAAATACAAATGTTATAATTATAAATGGAACGTCAAGAAAATGATGGTCATAGGTTCTAATCTTCAACAGTACAAAAGCTGTATTTCATTATGATTTGTCCTCTTTAATGTAGAAGTAACTGATAAAGCTACGCAATACTTACTAGTTGTTCAGTTTTGACAGTAGTTGAATCTTGTAAATATGTTGATAAAGTTTCACAAGACTGTCGCAGTTCAACAGATAAATCATACCTACAACAACAATTTACACAATGGTACTTTTCAAATCTAAGGGCAATAACTCTGAAGTTGAAAAAGTTTCCCAATTCAAGCTAACTTCTCATGTTGAAACAGTTGTGATATTACTAAGGGCATGGGCGTTAACTTTGTTTTTGAACTTGACCTCCATTTTAGGATTACATATAGTACAAACTAAGTTTCATCAGGTACATGAATTTTAGTAATGTTTACATGACTTACGTTTCACGAATATTTTGGTCAAACATCTGAAAGCCTGAAGTGACCATTTGATCTTCTTGACAAGAGTAACTAATTTGACCATGTCGACTATCATATGACCCTTCATCATAACTAGCTGAGTCACTATCTGATCCTGATTCACTGTCATTGCTACTGTTACCAGTTCTGAAAAGAAGACTTTTGATTAATTGCCTTGATTACATGATAAATGGATAGATCAATCATCTTGTCAAATGGGTACTAAATTCTATTCAATCTATCAAAAGCAAAAATCATTGGTAACCAATCAAGTTAAAAGACATTACATCATAATTGCTAAGAAAAGGGAACCCAAATGAAGTGTCATTGTAATTCTTGGATGATATTCAACAAAAGTCAACTTACCCTCCAACAACAGAATCAGCAAACCTTATTCCCCCTTTTGACCGAGTGTCTTGTTTATTTTGTTTCAAACAGGAACGAAGAGATTCAAATTTACTATCATCTTCAGTAGTGGAATATCTTGAATAACCAGAATCTGTACTAGTTTCCATTTCATTCATGAAATTCCCTCGATTACCCTGACTGCCAGAGCTACTTTCAGTTCTGGTGACCACCACTTCACTTGTTGTTTCATATTCACCATCATCTTCAATTTTATCATGGATGATTTTACCATCAGCATCTCTCTTCAGATATCTCATATACCCTTCAGCTTGTTCTACATCATCCTCGGTAATATCCCTCATTGGACCCATTTCAACATTATCTTTAAATTCAAATTTATCCCCAGTCCATACTTTGGTTGTATATTCAGAGTGCAGCGGTTGACGCTTCCTCAGAAGTCTATGACTGGAAAATGCATCCCCATAATCGAAAGGATTAGGGTTTGTTTTAATGGCTGGTTTAGAATAATCAGAAAAGTTGGTGGAAAATGATTCAGTACTTTGACTTGAAATTTGTCCTCTCTTAATGTCATATTCCTGAATTATTGTGGTGGTTGGTATTTCTTCAGTAGTATATTGAGTTACTGTTGTCGTTGATGTATTTTCATCATAGTCATTCTCTGGAGCAGTAGAAAGAAGGTTACTGCTATCAGTTAAATATCTTGATGATGAAGATGACGATGACGATACTGAAGATGAGCCTCCAGGAAGGGATGATGAATATTGAGTACGTTGATATACTGGTATTGAGGACACTTTATACGATGAAGTTTGGTAACTTTGATCTGCATTATTTGTTATCTCTGGTACTTGTTGAATGTAGGATGTTTTAGTAATGGTTTCTGAGTAGTCCTCTCTTCTTTCCTCATCATCATATACCTTTTCTTCAGCACTATCAACTTTATCATAAAACGAAACATCAACATCAAAATTATCTTCAGAGAGAGCTTTTTGTTCGGTATTGATTGCCACAGACTGAACAGAGTTAGCTACTGTGTTACAACCTGTATTCCTTGTTGGACTCTTAAACATTTTTTGATCAGTTTGTATTTTTTCGTGTCTTCTGGATGGTTGATCTGTATTAGTCGAACTGTTTATTAATCTGGATCTATCAGTTGTTGTAGACTTGGAGCGTTTGTCTACTATTGGAGTATTAGTTCCTGAATCAACCCTCCAGCCATAATCTGTGTTACAGGATCTGTGGGAAATCATGGGGTATGCAGTGATACCAATCGATTTCTTCACTGTTGGATTTTTTATTTCAACATCAATACGATCATCTCCACAGCCAACTGATGTTGACATGCAGGTCTTGCTTGTGCCAACACTAATCATTTCTGGTTTAAAATTACAGTTGATACCAATGGATCGTACACTGTGATGAAGGACCTGCCTTAAAGCTGAACTCAATTCTTCTCTTTTGAAGCTTAAAGATGTCATCAGAGTTCCGGTATCCACATTGATACCAACTGTTCTTGTGGACGGTTTCTCTTCATCACAAGAATACATTATGCCAACATCACGAGTTGGAACACGGCATTCTATACCAACATTTCTCTTTGCCACTGATTGAGTTCCACCTATTATAACTGTACGTAGCTCTTTTTCATGGATCTGTACTCCTGAATTATCCATCGTGTTAGAGTCTCCAACTCCAATTGATCGAGTCATTACTTTCCTAGCATGATTCTCAGAATGTTGTCCATAATCATGGTGAGAATAGTGACTGGTTGAAGAAGTAGGCGACACTGATCTGGGTGAAATATGGAAATTAAAACTTCTCGGAGAACTTGTCATTTTTTCATAATCTGAATCTAACTTGAAATCAGACATAGCTGTAGCACTGCTTGTGTATTGGTTGAATTTTTTTGCATTAGCCTGGGCCTGGAGGGTGAGTAATCGTTTCTCTTCTTTCAAGACAGATATTCTTACTTGTAAGATTGGTATAGCTTTAAGTTGTTCTTCCAAGTCCTTCATCTGTTTAAAACTAACAGCCACTGCATCTCGAATGGCTTTTAAAGATGATCTGCTTATCAAAATCTTTTCTTCGGTTGTGACAACCTCAGTAGGCATGTGTGATTCAATGGTGGCTGCTAGTTGAGCTGATGTAAAAGTCTGATAAACTGGTTGGGGAGCAGCATCTGCCAACATTCCTGTTACTTGCATTGAGTGCAGTGTTTGTCCTTGGAATTCGTTTGATGCATTTGACATTGTGGACAGTGAACCAAAGGAATCATTTCTATTGTGTCTGGTAAAAGAATTATAACTATCAACTGTGTCTCTGGAATCTTCACCACTCTGGTAGTTCTGAGTATAGTATGCTCTATCACTGTACATATTATCATCAGTTTCACTATCTGTTGAGTAGTGTTGTGGATGTTGCTGATGTTGTTGGTGCTGTGATGTTGTCATTATTTGTCTTATTCTCTTGTCAACTGTAGTATCAATAGTTTCTAGAACATGGTTAGTGGCCGTCTGCTCATATTCAATCATATTCAGTAAACGAGAAGCTTCTGTAGAATGTACTACATCGGGAGGTGGTGTTGAAGCTTCAGTATAATTACGATCAAGCAACATCATTTCCATTGACTTTCGAAGCTTTCGCTTAGTTCTCTGAATCCTTCGAAGATTCTGTAATGTACCTCCATTATTCATCGATTCACAGTAGTTGACAAAGTCCAAATCGATGTGGTAGCCATAAGGACAACATGTACATTTACCATCTAAACATGTTAACCTTTTACTTGGTATTTGTGAAATATCTTCTGGATATTCTGAAAATATAATAATTCAATGAAAGTATTTTTAGACATTTTACCTTGGCATCCAGACAGAACAAAATGGCACTAAAATAAAATGGCTGTAAGCAGACAGAAATGAGAAGAATGAAGAAATTATTCTCAGAATGCTAATAACATACATTTTGTATATTATAAAGATATATAGGATCTGATATCACCAGACCAAGTTCTTACTTTATAATAATTTATAATTATGTTTAACTATGATATTTCTGATCTAAAAGGATACAAATACTCCTTTATGGTGACAAGCAGAAAATGAGGAAGAAAAGTCAACGTAAATTGAAAAAGTAAACATCTTTGATCGGAAGTCCAAAATAATGTACAAATATGCATGAATTAAAGTATTAAAAAACTTAAAGTTCATAATAACTAGTGACTATTTCTTACATTTTCAATACTTCAAATAAGATAGTTTAGATTACCCTGACATTTAATCAAACTGTCAATTGGATTTTGTTTTTGGCTTGAAGGCAAAATAACAATTTTTAATTTTCTAGGATATTTAATGACATGTTGTTTTCTGTGACTTGGTGCATTTACTATCTGGGATAAGCCCTTTAAGCAACAGACATATTAGAAACTGTTTCATCATTTCATCAATAAAGGTATAATTGGAAATACAATGTGGTGTAGAATTACAGAGGGGATTTGTTTCTGTCAATTACGTTTTTTCATTTCTGCCAATAGCGGAAATAATCCTTCATTTTTGAAATTCATATTACTGTAAATTTTTCAAAACCAGGAAAAAACTTTTATCAGCTTTATTTCCAAACACACTACTTTTTAATGAAAAAATTCTTTTCTTATGGATTACAATTACTAAAATTCATTGCTTGATAAAGACCAGAGAACACTGGTCGAAACGTTGCTCAAATAAAGTTAGTAATTGTAATCCATAAGAATTTGTTCATTATATCCAACACCTTTACTAAATGCCATTCAAAGATCACACTGCTTTTTCATGAAAACCTAACAACACTCTGCAGTCGTCATCTCAGTAAATTTTGAAGACTGCTTTGATCGAACATTTTTAAAAGAAATAGCAAACCCTACTCCTTTGTCATCAAAGAAAAAGTTTATTACTGAGTTGTATAAAAAAAAATCTCAAAGTTTCATATTGGCCTTAACTCAAATAAATAACTTCAACACCCTGTGTAGACTTGAATTTCATGTTTGAAATGTAGTTGAACTAGCCTGTTGAATAATTATCTTATTTTGGACTGAGTGGTATTTGTTATTTTAAAATGCTAGTGACATACACCTACTCAGGGTCATACACAACTAGAGATGTGAAGTTAGAAATATATATATATATATATATATATATGATATAGGTCTAATATAATATCAAGTAAAGGATTGCACTGTTAAATTATCACTTAACACACTAATTGCAGACTTTGTGAATAAAATTTTGCGCAGATGTTGAAATTGTGATCAATCCTTGCAACACATTTCCAAACTAACTGTCCTGATGAGGATTGTTCATCCAAAACACATGTCTACTGCATTATATATGAGCTCTATAGAGTCTAGACAATAAAGACTTATATATACTACAAATTTAAATTGATTAGATTGTTTTTAAATGTATCTATGTCAAAATGGCTCCATAATCTAGTACTGGGTCATTTACATATGGTACACAAATATCAGATATCATGTATTTACTTTATGTTCAAGTGTACAGTTATATAAGTTTATAACAAATAATTGAGTGTACTATTCTTCCAACATTTTATATTTTATATTTTACTACATGAGATCTATCATGCTACTTTAAAGGAACACTCCTTCTAGGAATGAAAAAATAATTTAATTTCTGAAACTTGACCAATAAGAGTTTTTTTTTTTAATCATCAGTAGACTTACCTGGCCACGTATTCTCGGAACAATCTTAGCGCTAGGATGTCCTAGGTTCTTATCTGCTAACATTGATTCAAAGACATCCTAGTGCTAAGATCATTTTGAGAATATGTGGCCTGGTGTCATAAACATACAAGAGAATTCTGATAAATCCACAAAAATTACGTAGTTTTCAGGATAATTACTTAGTTTTACGTATTTAAAGGGATTCTGTTGTAAAGTTCTTGTACTTGGAAGGTCCAAAGATGAATATATACTCTTACTGACCAAGTTTGAAAGTTTAAATTTTATTTTCATTCTAAGACGTAGTGTACCTTTAAAGCCATCATTTCTTTAATATCAATTTAGAAGTATAAATCTAATACTGGTTTATATACTTGTAAAAACATTA